ACTTTTCTCTTTATAATCTCAAATTCAAGCTACAAAGTACAAAGTATTTCAAAAGACCCTCCTTCCATCTGCGGTGTGTTCTAATCCTCAGCTTAGTCCACAACCACCAGGAGTTTGTTCATTAAAAATATGCTTCGTCCTATGGAAATGGGTGTGGTGGTACACACTGTAATCCCAGCTATTTGGGAGGCAAAATTAGGAGGACTGAGGTCAGAGGCCTGCCCTGGGCAAAGGCATAAGACCCTACTGGAAAAAATAAATAAAGCAAAAAGGGCTGGGGGTGTGGTTCAAGTGATAGTGCTTGCCAACCAAGTGCAAGGCCCTGAGTTCAAACCCTAGTACCACACACACAAAAAGCTACAATCTACATATAGAAATATCCTATTTCTTAAAAATGTGCATTTTTTTTGTGTGTGTAGTGTTTTTTTTTTTGTTGTTGCTGTTTTTGTGGGACTGGGGTTTGAACTCAGGGCTCTGTGCTTGTAAACCAGGTACTCTGCCATTTGAGCCACACCTCTAGTCTATTTTGCTTGGAGATGGGGTCTCAAGAACTATTTACCCGAGCTGGCCTCAAACCTCGATCCTCCTGATCTCAGCCTCCAAGTAGCTAGACTACGGGTGTGAGCCACTGGGCATGGCTAAAATGTGCATTTTCAACAGACACTCTAATAATTCTTGTGCAAATCAAATGTTGAGGGGCCCAGCACTCTTTTTTCCTTATAACTGTGGTTCTCAAATATTCTTAAAAATTAAGAGTCATGTAGGGGTCATGGGAACTTAAGGAGCAATGGCTGAGCCCAAACCCAGATCAGAGTCAATGTCTGTGGAAGGAGACACCTGAGCTAACTATAAATTTCACAGGCCATCAGTGAGGAACACTGCAGAGACCCGGTGTTCCCTTCACGGAGTTCCACCAGTGGTGAAATCCACACGGATCCAATGCCACTATGCTCGTTAACAAAGCCCCTTTCCACCCCTATTCTTTTCTTCCTTATACTTAGTTCTATGGGAGCAGCTCCTCTTTAATATGCCACCTTTTAACTTTTTTCATTATTTTTGTGTTACAGAGATTTGAACTTAGGGCATTGTGCTTGCTGGGCAGGCACTCTACCACTTGAGCAATACCCCTGGCCTTTTTTGCTCTGGTTATTTTGGAGATAAGGTCTTGCTTTTTGCCCAGGCTGACCTGGACTGCCATCCTTCTATTTTATGCTTTAGATGGGATTATAGAAGCACACCACCAGGTCTGATGAGATGGGGGTCTCTCAAAGTTTTTGCTGTGTTTGGCCTGGAACTTTGATCTTCCCCATCTCTGCATCCAAGTAACTAGGATTATAGGCATGAGTGAGTCACCGCACCTGGCTGTCACTGGCATTTTTTTAAAAGACTTTAGACCAGCTGATTGGTAGATAGCCCCTTGGTTTGGATCTAGCTGGATCATTTTATTTTCTGAGTAACATTTTTCATGAATGTTCTTTCGCAGGTATGGGTTTCCTGGGGAGACATTTGGCTAAAGCGTGTTTTTCTCGATTGTTGTTTAAAACGCTATTAAATAAAGCTGATGGACGGTCACCTCTGAACACCTTGAGCCCAGCGACAACATCAATTATATTCACAACAGACTGAGCGCATTCTGAAGCAAAACAGACCAGTGCACTTCCTAGCCTGCAGCTTAATTCTGAAACCCAAAGAGTCCTGGAACCTGTGCTTCCGGCATGGCTTCTTGGGGCCTGATGAACAGACCACTTCTCTTCCTCAGATTCCTCAAACTGCAGCATGGAAGGATAATCCCTAGCACTTAACTCTCAGGGCCAATGAGCAGTGCATGGCATATAGTCCATGTGGTACTCAGCACTTAGTGAGTTCACTGTTACTGAAAATATATCATCAAATCAAACCTCTGTGGCTCTTCTAGATCTTTTGGTGCGTGAATCAGATGATTTTTTGTTAAGGTAAAATCCTGTCATTTGTCTGTATTGTTTTCACAGAATTGTGAAACCCAACTATGGCCTAGCTTCACAGCTGGAGGTGAAAAACCGATCTTACCATGACACCCTGAATCGTTAACAGGATCCTTTCCTTGTCTGTACTGCTTGGACGGTCAGGATGTCAACATGCATTCAGAAGGGAGAGAGAAAAGTCACAAAGGCCTGGCGCTGGTGGGAGACTCAGAATTTTGGGGAAAAACACAAGAACTGGGCATAGAAAAACTTATCATCCCTGAAGATGTGCTGGGGCCTTGTTCTCCACTGGTCTCCTGCCTTTCAGCTCTCTTCACTCAGTTCCCCTCCATACTCACACCTCAAGTTGATCTGACTGCACTTGTCCCCTCCGTGTGAACACCGCTGCACACACAAGCAGGTGCCAGGATCACCTGGGCCACCAACTCCCCATACGATGCTCTGAGCCACTAGGCTGCAGGATGGCTGAGTGAGTTACCAGTGTGGAAAGATGGCCATGGTATGGTGTTAAGTGAAAACAGCAGATTATCAAGACAACATATCCCATCTATGTTAAACAACAATACAAAATAAAAGGAAAGAGGTGCTCGCTCAAAAGCTGTCTACCTGATACAGCAGAAGTGCGCAAGCCACAGACCTGCTCTAGAAGCAAGCCCATCATTTGCATGTCTCATGTTGACGTCATGGAAGGCCCCTAAAGGGACCTGCTGCAGAGCCACTGGGGGCCGGGTAGGGCAGCTCCCCTAGGGTGCTAGGCAAGGATGGGCTTTAGATGCCCTTAACTCTAAGTTGCTGGGTTGCAATTGTGGGAAATCCCAATTTTCCCTCACTCTAGGGTCCACACAAAGGGAAGAGAAACTCAGGAGGCCCCCAGAAGATGCCAGGGTGGCCAGTCCTCTGATTGTCTGTCATGCCCTCAGGGATGTGGACGTCATTAACTTGGGAAGAATGTCTGGGTGGGAATGGGACACACCACTTTCTCCTGTGGATATGACGATGTATACCATTTGTAGTCTGATAGTTATACATGCACTATCACCTCTGGGGTATGAAAGGATTTTATTTTCTTTATGTCTCTAACATTTTTTATATCGATTGTGCATTATCTAGAAGGTTATTAAGATGTCTTAATAGAAAAATGCACACATTGGCACATTCCTGATACTGAAATGGAGCCACTATCCTATAAACGAAGATTGTATCATCTACTGCAGCACACAGTCCATGTCCCGAAGAACACAAACATGACCAAGACCTGGCATTTTGGTGGAACTCTCTGGAAAGAATTACTCTCTTTTCACCAGAATTGTAAAACCATTCAAGACTCTAGGAAGTCTTCCTGTCTGACATAAGGAGAACCCTGACATAATTACCATGGTCCTCAGGCCCTGTGCAATCTGACTCATGGCTGCTTCTCTGACATCACTCCTCTTCCTCCCTCACTCCTCACTGGCTCCCTACTTCAGGACCTTTGTATCTGCTGCTCCCTTTGCCTAGGTCGCTGTGTTCCACATGGCTCACCCTCTCACTCCTTTGAGGTCTCTACTTAAGTACTGTCTCATCAAAGGGGAGTCTTTGTCCACCCCCCATATAAAACAGTAGCCCTTGCCCCACTGGTATTTTTTCATCAGCACAGCATCTCCTCATGCACTCTCATTTGTCGTCTGCTTCATCTTCAGTGTCTGGGACTGTGCAGTGCAGGCTGTGGCGCATACACACTTGTCAATGGGGATGGCTGCTGCCAGCCCCTGTCATTGTTGTCATGCAAGAATGTGGGCCCCAAACCTTCCAAGTTTTAAAAGAAACTCCCATTTCAGAAAGTCCTGATCTGTAAACATCTTTTCAATGCACTGTGCATGGCAGTGGGGTGGAGATTAACAGAACATGTCTGCAACATGCATCCTGTGCCCTCAGAGCCACCAAGAAACTGACATTCATAGACAATGGGGATGGAAGGCAAAAGGCTGGTGTGTTTCAACAGTGAAGGTCAAGTGCAAAGCACACAGGCAGACACGCGTCGCCTTTTGCTCTGTAACAGGCTGCACTTGTAGACAGTGTGAGGAGCTGAGTGCATTTAGCTAGGCACCTTTTTCCCCTTCTTTTTTTTTTTCATATCTCTTAATGCTTCTGCCTTTGCAGGAAACTAGCATTGCAGCGTCTCTCTTTCCCTGAACAGGAAAATCACTCCAAGGGAAATTGGCTGTGAAACCTTAGGGAGAGCCCCCTCAAGATGGGGAGAAAAAGGAAAGAGAGACACAATCAGGTGCTCACAGTGGAGAAAATTAAGTGCACTGGTGAAGCAGCAGCCATGCCAATCCAGAGCACGCGCAGAGGATGCTAATGGCTCTTAAAAGCTTGTGAGAGGCTCAGCTGCCTGGTGTTGCAGGAGTGGGGGAGCCCGTGGAGGAGGAACTATGTGTTCATTTAATGAGGTGACAAATGGCCCATCAAAGGCCGACTAGCAGGGCTCCTATCCTGAAGGGAATATACACATTCTGTGACATGGGAATGGATGGGACTGAACTTGGTTAAAATTCAGCTAAAAGAAAGGAGGGCTTGTTTTGTAATGACTGGTCCCAGGCAGGAGAATACCTGATGGATTCAAAAGCAAATTGAGGGCTAGGAGTAATGGTGCACACCTGTAATCTCAGCACTCAGCAGGTAGAAGCAGGAGGATCGCAAGTCTGAGGACAGCCTGGGCTACTGCCTCAAACGAACAACCAAATAGGTGTGCGTGTTGGGGGGTGGGGATTGTGAGTGTGTGTGTGTGTGCCTCAACAGTCCCTCTCCTTCATGAGTCACTGTCAATTCATATGAGTTTTTGGTCCAGAAATGACATGCAGAAGCAAGGCTTTGCCCTTGGAGTAAGGCTACGACACCAGGTGTCTCGTACGTGTTCTGCGTGCATCGAAGTGTGTGAGATGAAGGATGAGTGAGGGGACAGAATGGGTCAGTGTTAGAAAGTGCCCCTGAGGGCCTGGAGCACCTGAGCCTTGCTGTCTTGCCGCAGCCCCAAGCGTGGGCTGAGGCCAGTCCTACCTGTGGATAGTCCCCAGATGCCTCGTTGGCTTTGTCAGTTACATCTCCACACGACTCAAAATCTTCTGAATAGTCCAGCGGAGGCTCGATGTGGAGGCGTGGGCCAGCTTCTGTTCTAATCTGCACGGATTTCTGAGCACAGGAAAGAAGGATACCATATCAGATATGGAGGAACAGATATCACCCCTTTCAGGCTGGCTTAACTGCAAGGGCTGACCTTAGGCACTGGGTTCCAGGGGTGGAGTGACTGTGGGTGACAGCAGTTGTGTTCTGATGAACACTGGCCCAGCATGCACCTTGCTGGGCTCACTTCTCCTTGAACTTGCAAAGTGCATCCAGTAGGACTTTAAAAAATAATGTTTGCTTGAAATTATTTATCAATAGAATTTTATAGATGTTAACCTCTCAGAAAGGGCTCTGTGATATACTGATCCCAGGTTTGGGAAACACTGGCTCACATGTATCCACACTGTGGATGTCCTAAATGAAGACAGTATGGGGCAGACATTTTGAACCACAGAAGCTTCCTTTTAGCATTCCATGAATCTTTTTTGTTTGGTGGTACTGGGATTTGAACTGAGGAACTCCTGCCTGCTAGGCAGATGTTCTGTCACTGGAGCCTGCCTTCAGCCATATTTGCTTTAGGTTATTATTTTTTAGGTAGAGTCTCTTGTTTTTTACCCAGGGCTGGCCTCAGACCATGATCCTCCCACTTATGGCCTCCTGCATAGCTGGAACCACAGGTATATGCCACCATGCCTGGCTAGTTTGTTGAGATGGGGTCTCATTAACTTTTTGCCTGGGCTGGCCTCAAACCACGATTCTCCAGGTCTCTGCCTCCTGAGTAGCTGGGATTACACCATACCTGGCCTTCCTTGGATCTTTCTCTGGGAAACAAACACCTAGTGGGCCAGGTGGTGGGTGATCCCCCAATGTCCATTTGACCTCTTCTATTGTGTCTATTTTCCCATGTGCCCAGCACATTCTCAGCCTCCGTGCAGCTGGCAAGGACAGTGAACACCAACAGGCAATGTGGCATGGGTGGCAGGGAGGGATGTGCACATCTTGGTTGTATCATTAAGGGGTGAGGACCAGGCTTGCTCTGCCTGCTGCTGCCAGCCCTGCCAATGGAACAAGGAGGTGGGGAGGAGCTCCCCACAGCTGTGTGAAGGAAGGCACAGCCAAATAGTTGGAGCCTGGGTTCCTTCATGACCACCTGCGTCAGGGACACTGGACAGAGGGACCCAACTCTCTCTGGGGTTCTGGGGCAGGCTGGGCACTTCTAAGAACTGTTAAATGCTGCTGAGAATGCTAGTTTTGTGGTGAGCTTTAAGTCCTTATTGTAAGCACCTGATAATTTTTTCTCTGTGAGTGAGTGAAACAGCTAGAAGTGGGTGTTTGAACTTTGAACGGCAGTGGTAGACCCTTCCCTTATGCAGCTCAGTGGCCCCTTCTCTGACAACCCCTTGGCTGTGTAACATTAGTAACACTAGGCCCATTAAAAGGCTTCTCTCAAATGGTTTTCTTTTTTCTCTTTCACACAGAGTGTTGTGATCAAGCCCAGGTTGTCTCCATACTCAGGATCCTCCTGCCTCAATTTCCTGAGTGTGGGATTTACAGGTGTGTGCCACCATGCTCAGCTCTGATTGTGTTTATCTTGCCTCCTTGTGGTGTTTATCATATGTAAAGCTGAGCTGAGCTCGCAACACAAAGAGCAGCAGGAGAGTGGCAGGAGGGTGAGGGCAGCTGCTGCTGAGGGGTGGCAGTGGTGGTGACAATGGTAGAAGTGGTGAAAGAGCAGCTGAAGAGCCAGAGAGCAGCCAGGGCCAGAAGCGGTGGGGAGGGGATGCAGGATGTTGGAAGCAAAGAGAAGGCAGAGCCACGACTGTGGAAGGCAGAGGGCAGGAGGCACTAGTGGTCCTGGGCACTAAAACAGTTCCTGGGAGCTGCCAAACCTTGAAGGCCAAGGGTCCCACCATCAAGGCTCAGAACTGTACCACTAGCTGGTGCTGACTGCTGCTGACTACTGTCTGTTGAGCTAGTGCTGCTTCAAGCCGAGGGGTTCACTAGCTGCCAGACCACTGGCAATCAGAACCTCGAGCAGGAAGCCTCTAACCTGCGCACCTGGAGCCGTAGTCTGTAGTTCTCCAGGGCTTGGAGCTGTAAGCCTCTGAGTCTGTCAGCTCAGCTCATAGGCATAGGGCACTCAAATCACAGGACTGCCAACACAGAAGAGCTTTTCCTTACCTACTCATGAATTCTATCTGAGCAGAGCAGAAAGACCCCACCCAGTTGACTGGTAACAATATCAGCCTTTACACTCTTCAAGCCACTATAAGTTAGGTCTCTGATGAGAGCAGCCAGCCAAACCCTGACCTTCCCCAATCCACCTGGCATGGGAGGTCTTCTGTGGTCAGGCCACATCTACCCTCCTGCACATACAATCACATGCCTTACTGTCAGGCCACCATCCAGGCCCAGAGGAGCTGCAGCTCTATTGGTCCAGCTATGCTCATCACTTCTAGACTCTGTCCTTCCCTTGTGTTCTGCTGGAGCCCATTTCCTCCCCTACTCTCAGTCCATGTGTGCTTCAAGGGTAGAATGAAAGTCAGGCCTGGCCAATCAGCCCATTCTCTGACAATGTTAGTGTCAAGAGTTGGGTCTGTGCAGGGAAACATGACATGGAATCCTCACCCCAGAGGCTCTCCTGTCTCCGACAAGATGAGGCTGTGAGGGTTCTACCATTCACCCTGAGCTGGTTTCCATGCCAAGTTCCTCTCCTTCCCCAGAAACTCCTCAGCAACATCCAAATGCAAGGGGCTCCCAGCCAGGGACAAGACATTGGCTGTGGGGGGAGGAACCACTGGGCATGGGTCAGGCCCAAGACCCCAACTCATCAGTGACATTGAGCCTAGGTGTCACCCAGCCCTCCCAGGGTTTCTGGTCCTTTCTCTAGAAAGAGAGCAGGACCTGCAGGCCAGCAGCATTGGCCTCCCCTGGGGATCTGTGAGAGCTGCAGTATTTCAGGTTCATCTCTGCCCTGAGAGCCAAAGTACACACTTTAATAAGACTGGACGCTGTCTTTCTGCCTGTCCAGTATGCAGTCCCTGGCTTCTGGAAAAGCACCCTAGCCCTCTTTTGGGAAATCCTCTCTGTCCCCAGTCCTCATGGTTAATGTGGGAGTGAGTCCCCACCAGGGTTAAGTGGAGCATGTGACTGATCCAGACAGGGCCTATCAGAATGTGAGAGCCACTCCTGGGCCACCACAGTTGGGTGATTGCTCCAGGGAAGCAAAACAGATGAAATTGCAGGGAAGCAAATTATAGGTGGGGAGCTGCTGGTGGCCATCTTGGTCCCATGGCACAGGGGGAAAAGCTGCTGAGAGAAGGAGAATGAGTCCTGAGTTCTGCTACATGGTTTTTGCCCCAAGATTGAGCTCTGGCTGAATGTAAGCTGGCAAGTGTGAGAGGGATGATTTAGGTCTGCTGGACTTGGCACTGAATCCCGGAAAGTAGAAAGTGCTCTAGCCTGGCACGAGGGGCCCAGATGCAGCTCTGTTCTACAGTGTCCCCACACCCTTCCCAGAGGCTTAGTGCAACGCTCACCTCACCAAGATCCAAGATGTGAAGAGAGGGTTGCAGTCAGCATTAAACACTTAGTCAGCAAGGCCTTGCCAAGTGTGGACAGCACACACGTTCTGGACACGTGGTGAGATACAATGCCCTGCCCTCAAGTTTACCCAGCACCCATAATGTAAGGTGATGAAGCAACATGTGACAAAAGTAATGTGGTCTACAAAGTAGTTCTAATGCTGAGTGGGTACCCAAGAAGGGAATAAATAGGACCTCCATCTGGCCTGCTCTCCCGCCCCCAGACCCAGGGAGCCTCCTCTGCCCCAACTGGGAGGAGATGGAAAGCAGCCCCACCCACACTAAGGCTGGCAGGGTCCAGCCCAGCCCCCAGCCCCCGGCCCCCAGGCGCATGCTCCCTGCCTCCCACCTTCCCACTCTGGCAGGGAGGATGACTATGCTCCCAGCTGCCTCCCATTTGGCACTGCTTCACCAAGAGTGGGTGTTCCTAAGCAGCTGCTGTTTCCTGCCTACATACATGCCCAGACCTGGGTAGACCTTTGGAACACATACACCGGAGCAGAATTTAAAAGCCTCCCCACAAACTCTATGCTCTCATTTGCCAGCCCAAGCCAGTTCGTTCCACACTCGGCCAAAGTTCATGGCCAGAGTTACTTGTCTGCATCAGTCACACCTCTCTGCAAAGTGTTCTAAAAGGTATACATTAAAGCTTATTGTCAAGTACGAAAAAGAGCAAGCATGGGGCTGCCCTGGCTGGTTGCACAGGGTGTGCGATATGTCACTGGCTCCCTCTAGAGGTGGATGAGCTCTGCAGGTCCCCACAAAGGCAGGTTAGGGATGGGGTGGGAGGGGGCACAGCTAGACCCTCCTGGATTTGCTCTCCCCAGACTCTGATCTCTTAAAAACAGCAGTGGTCACTCTGAGAAGTCAGAAAGAGGGCACCAAGGGAGGGGCCCCAGCTTCATATGCCCACTGCCTAGGCCACCTAGGAACTATATGTGGAGCGAGGGGGAGCCAAGCCTCTGCTTTCATTGCAATGAACCTGCCGTGGAGACCTTTAAGGGGAGCACGGCCTGCAGTAAATTGCTGGAAGGCCAATCCCTTCACTACCAATTTAAAGCTAAGAGCCGATGATGTTCATCAAGCCTGACAGCATTTTGGTAAACGGCGGCTCTGTTGATTAGGTTGCTGTCCACCCAAGTATTACAAGGCTGAAGAAGCCATAAATCTTAATTCACTGATAGCAGCGGAAAGATCTAAGGCCCAGAAGTGGTGGGGGAAAGGACAGTAGGAACAGGTGCCATATATCACCAGCAACCCATTCCGCATCCAAGGCGTTGCTCGGGAGCCCACACTGTCCATCGCCACGGGCCTACAGAGTCCCCAGACTGGAGAAGGGTCTCACGGGGGACCTTGGCAGCCTGTCGCCAGCGTGTGGATGGCTCTGTGGCCTTCTGTCTGAGGGTTCTTCTGGCCTGTGCATCTGTGGCTTCCACTGGGCAGCTCTATGAGATGGAAGAAGGGTCATGACTCACAGGAAGAGGTGAATGTATGGACAGGACTGAGTGACACAAGAGGGTTTGGGGTGAGAAAAGTCAGCAAGGGAGTCAGGGAGAGAAGGTAGAGGATGAGATGAGGAGGACACTGTGCTGTTGTGAAAATGCATGAAGTAATGGTGTGGCCCCAAGGGCCCCTCCTGGGAGGCCCTGTAGTACACAGCAACCCCGGGATTGGGACAGGGCTGCAGTCTTTCTCCTGATGGCAGGACTTTCAAGACTGGCCAAAGGCTACTGGGAGACTTTACTGTCTTCATGCCCTGCCTCCACCTCACTGCCTCCAAGGATACTGGAACCTGTACAAAGGGGTGAGGACAAACAGGCTCTCTCCCTCTCTGTCCCACAGAGCCCAAGATCTGTCTCCATGGACTCTGTACTGTGAGGACACTTGTCACTTAACTACGCTTCTTGGAGCCAAAGGACAGCCATCCTGTCTCTCTCCTTTGTGACAGTAATAACAGTGTGGCTGGCATACTGAGTCTGTCCATTGTCCTATCTCTGGCCTCTTTGATGAGAAGCTGAGATCCACAGTCCTTGCTCCAGGGCTGGCTGGAGGCCAGGCAGGAGTTGCATCAGACGACTTGGCCCTGCTTCCAGGCACAGCAATGGAGATAGCAGTGAGGGCCTTGTCCAGAGCCCCAACCAGGTGACAAGACAGCTGAGAGATTCAAACAGTCTCTCTTAACTATGCCTCCTGCGTAGCCGGGATTATGGGCTTAAAAACCTATTTTTGGTGGTCTCGGGGTTTGAACTCAGAGATTCTTGCTTGCTAGGCAGGCGCTCTACTGCTTGAGTCATTGAATCACACCTCCAGTCCTAAAAATCATTTTTAAACTGTGAGGGTCCAAAAAAAGTTATTCAGGGAGCAAGCTGAACCTGTAGACTTCAAGTTAACCTATGGATACCAGCAGCAGCCTGGCCCTCAATGACAATAATTGAACCTATTATTGACACAGGAGAAACTGAGAGCAGGCACTGAGCCTTCTTTGATTTTCTAAAACCCCAGAGCCTTGCACAATGCCTGGCTCTGCAGATGCCAATAAACATCTGTTTGATCAGTGGATGACTTCCTACCAGACAGGCCTTCTGGTCCACTCACTCCTCCTGGATGACCCTCTGCTGATCTGGATCTCTAAAGGGAGTCTGTGCAGTGCAGTGGTGGGGCGTTGGTACCCACCCCCATTCCGCTTTGCCCTCAGGGTGTCTTTTGGTTTCGCAGAGACTGGGAAGTGAAACACTGTGATTCCCGGATTCCCTTTTGGCTCAGGTTCTGAGTGCAATTGAGGTTTAGTCAATTAGATGCCTCGTACCAGAAGGGGAGCACAGCTGTGAAGGCTATGGGTTTTTCAATGATGTCCTGCAGGGGCCAGGCCACAGGGCATGGTCTTTCTTTGCATTCCTAAGGCTGAGCCCTCACCTTCCCAGCTGCTCTGGGCAGTGGCTTTGCTGGCAGGCCAGAGCCAAGAAACGCTGCTTTCTGGCCACTGCTCCAGGAGGCCAAGCTCTAAACCCCAAGCCCACTTGTCATAGCAGCCCCAGCACCACTCCCTGGCTTGCAGCCTCTTGGTTTAAGACAGTCCAAGTGGTCTCTATTGTTAGTCACAGAGTGACCCCTGACTGATAGAGTGTGGAAGGACAATTGCAGCCCTCATGGCCTCAGGAAGCCAGGAAATTAGCCATGATTAGGCCTTGTGAAGTGTTGAGCCACAGGAGAGACTGGGAGAGATGCTAATTAGTCTTAAGCCAAGTCTCTTAAATTGCAGACTCTGGGGCTAGCCACTAAGTCACTGTCTAAGACGCAAATGTGGCTCCTAATCATTGAAGGCACTCAAAACAACCAGGAGGACTGTCTTAAGTGAGCTGGGAGAGAGGCCTCATTAACAAGAAATTAACATTCACTGCTGGGGACAGAAGGAAGCCCCAGGCTTGTGCCCTGTCCACCTGTTCTTTAGCACCAAGCTAAGGCTAGGATGCCTGCCTCATAGAACCAGAGTTACAGATGTCCCTCAGTACACATGGAAAGACCACAGGTGGCAGTCATAGGCTCTGGGTTCAAATCCCAGACTGTTCTCTTTGCTGAGCAGACCTGTAACTCTGAGCAGGTGGCCTTACCTCTCTGGGTCTTGATTTCAGGACACATACTGATTGATAGGGCTACTGTAAAGACAGACTTGGCCAATCAGCCTATGGAATCCTTCATCACATGCCCCTATGCTTGGTCCAGTGTAAATGCAGTTCCCAATCTCAATGTACACATGCTTAAAAAATAAATAAATAAATAAATAAATAAATAAATAAAATCAACAGCCCACTGCTGAAACCTCACCAAGTCAGAATCTCTGGGGTGGAGCCTGGGCACTTGTATTTTAAAACTCCCCCAGACAATTCAAATGCACAGTGGGGTCTTGAGGACTCCCCCACCCCCAGGCCCAGAGAGGGAAGGCTGTATGGGCAGGCAAGAACATGGGACTTAGAGCAGATCTGCCTTTCAGTCCTGATTCTTGACTTAGCTGCTGATCTTGGCAAGCTCAATAAACTTCTCTGAGCATCCGTCTCCTGTTTCCTAAAAAGACAGATGGCCCTAGAACCCCAGCACAGTCTGTTGTAAGGGCAAAGATCAGGGGTCATGTAGGAGCAAAGACCATGCCTGGTGTTTTGGAGATGCTCAGAACTGCAGGCTGCTGCACTCAGTCACAGTAGCAAGCAGCCCAAATGGGTACCTTAGTTCTATGTGCAATGTGGCCTTGACAGCTAAGACCATGTGTCTGGCACACAGCAGGTGCTCAATTAGAAGCATCTGGAGGGATGAGGTCCCCCCGCCACACACACAGGGGCTGTGAGTGCCCTTCCTGACTCCCCAGCAGGCTGGATTGATCCCTCCCAGAGGGAGGAGAAGGCAGCAGGGCTGGTCCCCAGAAGCAGCAAAACCACACCCAGCACCACCAGAGAGGTGTGCCCAGCACACTCACTGGGGAAGAGGTTAAAGCTCAATTGTATACTGTTCCCATGGCAGTCCCACTCCTCATTCTCTAAAGCTCGAGCAGGTCCATTGTCCTGACTCTGCCCTGGGTGCCCAGACCTGATGCCATCCTCGGCGCTGGACCTTGCTGGGTGCCGTCCGAGAGTTGCGTCTTAACGCTTCTTCGGCTTCTCGAAACAGGGTTCTTCGTCCATAATCTACAAGAGGAGGGGAATGGCAAGGAGGCTGGTGAGGCACCGGTGATAAGCACACTGACAGTTATTCTGAAACTTGCATCTTAGATGAGGCCAGCATCCCCAAGGTCTCGTACATGATGACAGCCATGGCAGGGCAGCCTCTGGCAGCAAGGCAGTAGAAAACAAGCCAAACAGCCAGACATGGTGGTGCATACCTGTAATCTCAGCACTCAGGAGGCTGAGGCAGGAAGATTGTGAGTTCCAGGCTAGCCTGGACTATATAGTGAGACCTTGCCTAAAAAAACAAAACAAAATCCAGGCACCAGTGGCTCATACCTGTAATCCCAGCTACTCAGGAGGTAGAGCTTGGGGGATTGAGGTTCAAAGTCAGCCCAGGCAAAATAGTTCTGAAGACCATATCTTGAAAAAAACCCTTCCCAAAATGTCTTGTGAAATGGTTCAAGGTGTAGGCCCTGAGTTCAAACCCTAGTATCACCAAACAAAACAAAAACAAACAAACAAACAAAAAAACCCAAGCCGAATGCCCAGCAAAGAAAAAAAAGGAATGGGAAGCCAGGCACTGGTGGTTCACTTTTGTAATCCTAGGAGGATCGTGGTCCAGGCCAGCCTGGACAAAAAGCAAGATCCTATCTCTAAAATAACCCAAGCAAAAAGGCAATAGGCGTAGCTCAAGTGACAGAGTACTTGCCTAGCAAGCCCAAAGCCTGAAGTCAAACCCAGAATCACCACAAAAAAACAAGAAAGGAAAGAAATGGAAAAATAAGTCACAGCACACCCATGCTATGAAGTGACATGCAGAGGGCAGAGGGTAGACATGTTTGTTGAGTGAATCAATAGACTGCTGGGGCCCCAAATGCAGAGAATCCTGTTACCTGTTCCTGTTGGTTCTCCTAACTGTCAGTATGTCCACCATGAATGTCAGAACAGCCATCAGATGCCCTCTTTGCCCTGAGAGCGAGGGAGCTCATAGGAAACTCTGTTAAACTCCAGTGGCTCTCGAGGCGCATATTTGGGACATTACTTTCTCTTTTCAGCCTTTTGCTGTTGTTTTGACTTCCTGTGTATTAATGGCTTGGGAGCTTACCATACCCATGAGGCAGTGAATCAGAATGACACTAATCAAGGTAGCTGTGTGCCTGACATGAGACATCTCTTATGTTATTCAATCTTCCTGGCAAACCTGCAAGGTGGGCATAATTACTCCCACTTTACAGAAGAGGAAAGTGAGGGTCGGAGGTCTCAATTTGCCTGAGATCGCAAAGCTAGAGGGGGCAGAGCACGTTCCTTCGAATTCAGCTCCGTCTTTTTTCAGTTTCTCTTCTTGTGCTCAGAAGCATTCCAGCCTCTCAGACAAAGTAGCCTGTCCTGAAGGGTCCTCAGGCATACTGGAGACAGGAACATTTACTAATTCCATTTTAAAGAAGAGCAAACAGAGGCACAGGGAGAAAAAGTGGCTTTCCCACAGTAACATGATCAAACTGGGACCAGACTACATGTGCTCTGCCATTCCACTCATTCAATACCAAATCACATTTGGTGGCTCTATGGGCCAGATGGGGTGGGGAGCTAGATCCTGTTAAAGTGTGGGGTATGACTAACTAAATGTGAAATAAACCGTGGCATCAAATACCATGTGGGGCAGGTGCTGAAGTTTAGTGAGTATCAGGTATTACCAAGGACACCTTTAACTCATGAACACTTGAGCCCTACGAAACAGAAAAGCCAGGAATTTCCTGCTGTAGCTACTTTTGCTCTGGGGTATTGGAGGCCAAAACCAATTTAAAAAGGACTGAAGAGGACTTCTTGCGCTAAGGGCTGAACAGTAGAGAGCTTGGTTCGTATCTATGAAAGAGAAGAAAAAGAATTCATCTTTCTTGCTCTCATGCTCTCTTTCTGGTCAAGTGGGCATAGTTAATCTGTTATGGTAACTAGTTATCTGCTGGTAAGTTCATGCACACGCCATGGTTCCAAAGTTCCTAATTACTTTTTATTTTCTGTGGTCAGTGTTGGGGATGGAACCGAGGGCAAGCGCTGTACACTGAGCTCTGCCCTCAGCCCTTCATTTCAGTTAAAGAGCAATTGCCTGGCGGGGAAGGGCCTGCGCTCACCGTGCGTCCCCTCGGCCTGTGAGGCGCTTCTGGAGAAGTCTGCATGAACAGCTTTCCGTGGGGACATCTTCAGCTCTGAGTTGGCCCCATTGACGTAGACGGAGAACCCTTGCTCCAAGTGCTCCAGCCTCAACTGCACGGGGTCCTTGGCTTTCAGATGCCTTAATATCCTGGAAGAGAGAGGATCGCTAGCTTTTGCTCACAGGTACATCTGAGCCACTGCCACCAGTCAGCAGTGCGCTTTTGTGAAGGTGACAGTGAAGTGTCTCTAGTGAAAGGCCGGGTGCCTCCGATCGGTCCATTACACTCATGGAGAAGCCGTGAGGGGGAGATAGTTTGGGGCCCTGCAGGGATGTATCTGCCATCGTTCTGAGGCTCAAATGCACATTAGCAAAAAAGCATGCGTGTGACTCTTGCCCCCCTGGTACCCAAGGCAGAAAGGAGGCCCATGTGTTGCCTGGATTTTCTGATATGAGCCCAATTTCATCCAATTTTACTTTGTGGGAACAGTGATACTGTGATATGCAACAAAAAGTGTCAGACTGGGTGGACTAATTTTTGTTTCAGTGAATAAACTTGTTCTCAAACACTCACCCTTGATACTTCAAAAGACATCAATTCACGTTCAGAGAACATCAAAAAATGTACCAATGCAGGCGTGTGCTCAAGATTAGGGATATGGTGGCCACACCCTTCTGTAGAAGCGTGGCCATGTCTCTAGGTTAGCTTTTACTAATGCCCAGCCTCGCACCTTGAGTGTGGTCCTTGGCCCACTTCTGACATTTTACCACCACAAACAATGTCCTTCTCAGCCCCCTCCTGAGTCATTCAGGTGACACCATATTTGCCTGGATATTCACAAACACCATGATACCCCCCTCCCATGTCACCTAAATTTATACAGAAAGCCAGCTGACATGGTTCTCCTCAGGAAGTACACAAGTACATTACAAAAAATAATAGTAATCACATAAAATGAGTACATATACAGTCAATTCTCATTATTTAAGGTAATGTTCCAGAAAGTCACCGTGACTGTGGAATGAGTGAATCCTGAACCACTGCTCCCAGGGGAAATATAGGATCAGGTTCCTACAAGCCTCTGGTCACATTTCCATCAAACGATCAATACATAACATTGTTCTGAGTGTTTCTATTAAAGGCACATTACTACACTGTCGATTTGTTCATGTTGAACTTATAGCCAAAACCACTATAACTCAGGCCCAAATCAAGTTTCCCAAGCACATGTGTTTCCTTTGTGAGGTGCGTCCAGGAACACCAGACTATATTTCAGAGCTATGTCTGAGTCCAGCTGAAAAAAAAGCACAGAACTGAAAAACATGACACCCAGGGTACCATAACCTGGTAATAGCACGGGAGCTGAACGAAGGCCCAGTGTGGCCTTGTTGTACCTCAGCTAGGAATGGGTGTATCAAGCAACTAAAATGTTTTGCCCCCCTGCACATATCTGTAAGCAACTGCAAAAGCACAGCAAGTACTGATAATGGAGTTCAGCAAGCAGAATTTGAGAATAAGGAGGATCTACTGTGCTAAGACATCACTCTGACAATTATTTTATTTCCTGGATTTAACAGATAAGGAAACTGAGGCACAGAGAGCTTAAATAACTTGCCCGAGATCAGCTGGATGTGGCAGGGTTAGGACTTAGACTTAGGCAATTTGGCTCCAGAGACATCACCAATATGAAGACATCTTCTAACACTGCTGAGATGATGTTGAAGCTGGCAACCTTAGACATTGCTGGAAATTCGAAGAACCTTCTCGGAAGGGATGAGAAAATACAGACAGTGCCATCTATTTGGTCTCTGTCCAGTAAGCAATGCCAGCAAATTGTTCCCGAGTATAACCTCTGGGCAAGAAGAAGATCAGCGTTCAGACATTACAAAACGCTGAAAGCAACCCCAGGTCCAAGGCCGGGGAGTAGAGCTGAGCTGCCACTCAGAAGTGATGATTACAAACACTCTGTAGAAACATGGCAGGTTATTTGTGAGCTCTTTCTGGGGTGGGTGGGAAGAGAACAACATAAAAATGGTACCAATGTTGGAAATGCAAACTTGGGGAGCTCTGTGGAGCCAGAGCGGAAGGTGGTAAAAGTAGAAATGAGTCCATTGTTGAGGCAAGGTGAGGCACTGCGGGTGATTTCTTCGTTTACTTTGAAATGTTTCTTTAGTGCCTGATACATCTATCTTTGCCACAATTGTGGCAGGATCATTTATTACAGACTGCTTATCTCTTGCCAGCTTTGGAAGCCTGCAAGATGCCTGATTGTTGGGCAACAACATAAAACAGAAGGAAAACACAAGTAACTAAGAGACAATTTCCAAACACAGCAATAGCTGTGCTCATGGGAGCAGATAATCAAGGGATGCTTTGGGTACAAGCAGGCTATGCAGCGAAAGTGGCCCTGGGGTGAGCTGGGCACAGAGCCTGCCTCGACTTCCCTCCGGGAGACTGCCGCCTCCCATTACCTAGGATCTGGAGCTGGCACTGAGCGTGGGCCTCTGCTTAAGCAGGATGATTTATGAAACTGATAAATTAGGAGCTAATTATTCAGACTGTGAAAGGAATTGCTGAAGGAACTCCCCTCCCGCAGCTGAGTGCATCAGTAACATTCAGGTGGCATTAAGGAAAATACTTCTCTGAAAATGGATGGCCTACTTTGCATAAAAAGCTGTCCTGGGTATAGGGGATCAGATAAATCCTATTCAATTCCTGTCCTACCTAAAATTCAGCTCCACCTACCTGCTCCCTCCCTTCCCATTCCTTGCTGGTTTTCTTTCTATGTGACACAGGTATCCCTAGTACTATGCTACTCTGGACTTATCTATGGGTTCCTGCTCCTCCCTCCTTCTCCACTGGAGTCCGAGCCATGAGCACAGGCAACAACCTGGCCATGGGCCTGCTGATGTGAAGAACGACAAGGGATGTCTCAGAGCTGCCATTTATTGGATGCACATCAGAGTGTGGCTCTGATGTGGTTAACTGTACCTGGCTTTGACCATTGGGGTCACCTACACAGAGAGCTCTTCATCCAGAGGAGGACAGGAGGGAGCGTGGGTGGGGCCCTGGCATGGCTAGGCTGGGTGCTGGGGAGCCCTCTCCTCCTCCAGGGCAGGGACACTGTGAGGACAGCTGAGGGAGCATGAAGGACAGGCACGTGGGTAGCTTAGGCAGTGGAGGGTAACTGAGTCAGCTCTGGCATCTAAGCAGCTGCTGGGGACTGTGGTCATATCACATGCTTCCTCCGCTCTTAGCTCAAGGATCATCATGCAAGGGCCCCTGGACATCAGCCTGGGGAGAAGGCACAGCTGATGCTGAGGGGTGGTGAACGTGGATGTGTTGGAGGCTGACCGCACCTTCAAGTACCTGCCTCACTTCATCCGTCACTGCCCTGGGGTCTAGCTTCTACCATTGGCCTGCATCATAAGTAAACACGCCCACGGCTAGAGCTTCACCCATGACATCTGCGCTTTCTCCCTCCAACCTTACAGACCTTGCCAGGGTTCTGGGCAAAGCAGAACAGAGGGAGTGGTGGCCCCCCACCCCACCCTCTTGGCTGTGGGTCACCAAGACAGCCTGGAAGGACACAGTGGGGAGGGCAGGGATGCAAAAAGACTGCCTTCCACTGCAGACCCTTGGCCTGTCCTCCAGGATGCCACCTTGAAGAGCAGCTTCTCAGGCCAAAGTGGTATCCGGTGGACAGAGCTCGATACTGGGGACTCTGCCATATCTCCAGCTTGTGTGACCTTGACAGGTCTCTGACCCCCCCAGGGGAGGTCTGTTTCCTCTTTTGTGAACTGAGACTGGGAAGTGTATACCTGCATGGGCCATCACCTAGAGAAAAAGCAACCCCAGGTAAAAGTTCTGGCTTCCAGTGTGGCCCAGGCTTGGCCCCACCAAACTGGTTCTCTCCTTCCTTCTTTCTGCCTGAATCTCCTCTTGGGCAGTGGGTCCACCTCCCCTGGGGGTGCATTTTTCCATATGTTTCCCTCCAATGACCTTTTTGAAGGACTAAATGGTAACAGCGTGAATATCCATGTCCACCTCCACCCCTCAGCAAGCCGTCCTTGGCTGCCAGCTCTCAGATCCAAGGGCCTAATTGCTTTGGTCAGCTGCCTTGCTCAGCCTTTGATCACGCTGCTTGCTCACTCACGAATCTGGAATCTCGTCAGGTGTGAGTACATCTTGCACCAGGCTGAGTGACCGGAATCTCTAAGAGTCTGCAGGGACGAAGCAAGGCTGCCAGGCTTCTCCCCACCCCGCCCCATCCCTGCCCCACCCAGAGCACAAGACAACTTTCTGCTCCTTCTTGCACAGTTATGGCAACCTTCTGCTCAGTCTGCTACACCTAGGGAGCACCCTAGGTGTCACCAAGGGTGACAGCTGTGCCAGGGGCACCTGTTCATCTGCCCTTCCATTCTTCCACCTTGCAAGTGCAGCTGCTCACAGGTTCTTGGGAACAGCACCACTCTTAATCTAGGTCATTTGGGTGGGATTGACTCCACTGCCCAGTTTGGTAGGTGGCCCAGGGCTCTACCACCTTACCAGACACACAGAGTGACTAGCTCAGGAAGGGAATGGAGCCAGAGTCAGGCCAATAGCAGCCCTTCTCAGCACTTGTGATGGGAGGATTCAGAAAGAACTGCTCTCCTCTCTTGGAGGGAGGATGTAAGTAGGGGCTTCCATTGCCTTGTGATGAAAGAGCCCACGTAAGAATGACTCTTGCGTGGGAAAACAGAGGGGAGAGATGGAGAATGCCTGACATAACGTAAGCACCTGGGTCTAGCTATGCCTGAAGCCAGAGTATTAGAGTATTCTCCCTCTATCCCTCCCTTCCTTCCTCCCTCCCTTCCTCCCTCTCTCCCTCCCTCCCTCCCTCCCTCCTTCCTTATTTTCTTTTCTGGTGCTGAGGATAGAACCCAGGGCCTCATAAATTCCAGTCACGTGTTCTACCACTGAGCCACACCCCAGCCCCCATGCTTGAGCTCTTAAGTTCATGAGCTGTAAGTTTCCTGGTTGCTTAAATTCATTTAGCCTTTGGTTTCTAGCCCTTACAACCAAAGGAACACTAACTAAAACTGTCTGTGTCTTCATTGTTCAGTATTTCCTTTTGAGCTAGCAGCAATGCCAGGTTCTTAAAAGGTACTCTGTGAAATCCTGATGAATGAATAAAAGAGTAATGTTACCCAGCACCATAGGCACAGCTGTGTTCTGGGCAAAGCTCTGCCACAATGACTGAATTACAGGCAGCCTAACTGAGCAACCTGGTTCCCATCTCTCCCAAAGCCCAGGGCACTGCTCAAGACTGGCTCCCCTCTGCCAGTTACATAGTAGGCCTTTATAGTTAGCCCTAAAAACCCCTTCTTAGTAACCCCAGCGCCCCTGGCACTGCTGGCAGCTCTCTCTCCTTTTGATCATTTCAGATGATCTCAAACAAAATATAAATAAAGTACAGCCTAGCCCCACCACTTCCTGGCTTGTGAGACCTCAGGCAAGTTGCTCACTGCTCTGGGAGTCCACTTCCTCACCTGTCAAATGGGTACAGTTGCTCTGTTACTTGGCTGGGTAGTGTGCACGTGGCGCCTGCATGTGGCCGGCACTCTGCAAAAGGGCCCCGGCCATAGCTCAGGGGCGCTCCTCTCCTTGCAGGTCCCCTGTGAAGGAATTTCTTCTAGCTCTACCTTCTAGTTTTCTGCCATCCAGACAGCTCCTTCTCAGTAACAACACGTCCCCCCCAATTTCACAGCAGTTCAGTTTTGATACATGTTTAATTGCCTTTGTGCAGCAAGCTTGCCTCTGGAAATTCTCATATATGCTATCAGCTGGTGCCTCTTTGATGGCACACTTATTGATCCCCCGATTAATGAGAAACAATTTGCTTGTAAGGAGCGGTGACACTCTCTCCCCAGACAAGTCACATGGAGATGATTAAACGATCACCCAGGTGTTTGGTGGCACCATGCAGCCTTCCAGCAACGAAATGAAAACATCCTGCTCCCCTGCATTAATGAGGGTAAAAAGCCATGGTGGTCTAATGAACACAGCTCTCTGCAGTCCTAGTGTGGGGCCACTCTGGGACAAGGGAGACAGGGCACTGAGCAGCTGAGAATAGAGGACATTTCTGGCCAGTCCTGGAGAATTGACTTGGAAGTTCCCCACTGATAGTGGGGTCACTTCACCAAGGGGTATTTGGAAACCTGCTTGAGTGTAGTCATAGATACTGGGGAATTCTGTAATGGGGCCGGTGGGTAGGGATGCCAAACTGTAATGCATGGGACTATCCTGTATCACACCATGTGTCACCAGGGTCCCTCCTGAGTGCACACAGTAGGCAAGGGCTTAATCCACGTTCAAGAAGACGTCCTCTCAGACTCTTGCTTGCAAGGTCCCAAGCCCACTCCCATCACAGAGAGACAGGAATTAGCACTGCCCCCTGCTTACCAGGTCTGATATGTAGCCTGCAGGCTTCTTCTGTTTGCCTTGAGCTTCAATTTGAATTTATTCCCCACATTTTCAACCTCAGGAGACTTCACAGCACAAATGCAGATTTCCACCTTCCCTGCAAGCTGGGAGGACCTGGACCCTGGGGGCAGCACTGCCACAAACCACTGGCCTACAGAGCAGCATGTACAGGAGAATCCCAGGTACCCCTGACCCGACTCCTCCAGCTTTTTTCACAGTCCGGCCTTTGATTTGCAAACCCAGCTTAGTGAAAGGTTCAGGCACTGAACTGGAAATGAACTTGCTCAGCGTACAGAGGAACGGAGGCCTCGAAGCCTGCCTCTCTCAGACCACACCAGCTGTTTTGACCTTGCTCACTACACACTGCACTGCTTACAAGCTCTGTCAAGAACCGGCCCTCTGGAGACAGAAGCGCCCCACCTTAGCTTTACACGACACCCTGACCAAATTCAAACACAAATGTAAACCCAAGCCACTTTGCATAACATGGCATGATGACAGGCTCAGGTTGCCAGGGCCTATCAAAGCCTGCCAGGTGCAGCATGGCCTGTTTGGGTGGCTATTGCCTAGGCCCATCCACACACCTTTTCCTGACAATCCCACCCCTTCAGGAACAGAAGCAGGGGGCAAGAGGTGAACAGTTTGCTAAGCTCAATCAAAAGATGCAATTAAACCAGTGGATGGAGAAGCAGGAGCAGGGCTGGCAGACAATCCTCTCAGCTCTGACTGGAGGGCACTCTGCACCCCATTCCTACAGGACTCAGGGCCCACGTGCTGTTAATAAATCTAAAAGATTTTTATTTAGCCAATAGCAAGGCGTGTCAGGCGGCTGCATCTTACCGGTTCCTCTGCTGAAGCAGTATTAAATACTCGTCATGTCTCTCATCGAAGTCTGTCCCCATTTCCTCAGTGTAAGCCTGCAATGAAGACAGCACTGTGATAGCGGATCTCAGGAAGCCTTCGCTGAACCAGATGCTGCACACACCGGCACAGGCGACCAGGAGGTGGAATCCAACCCTGAAGAAGACCCAGCTCCCCAAGCGCATTCCTCTGGCAACCAGTGCCCCCAGAGGTTGTCTGGTGGCCCCATAGGTCTTCGACATGCTTGGCTTTAGTGATCTACGAAAGGAGATGGATTCCCCAGCCTCACCACTGCTCCTTCCTCCTCTGCCCCACAGAGTCCAGGGCTTGAACTTTAAAGATCTATTTTCTCAGTACTCATCAGTTAGTGATTACAACTGTCATACAGCACCAGCTCAAACCACCTGCCTGAGTGGATCTCTTGCTTTTCCACTGCGAGAGAGATGCATGCTCACTATAAACAGCACGATCCTTATGGGAACATATGACCCTAAGAGCAAAAGCCCCTCCGGAGTGATACTGGGGGTTCTGCACCTCTTCCACAACATGGTTCTGCATTTCCTCTGGGGCATCATTCAGCTGCACCTTCCAGCTTACTGGGTTCCTTAGATGCCCTGAAGGTTCCTTTGTGTACCTCTTGGATCATGGGGCCCTGGCCTGGAAGCACAATCAACATGGTGCTTCCCCCCAGCCAGGTGATTCATTGGTTTTGGGGAGAATGTAACTCAAATCATCCCTGGACTCTGCTGATCCTCTGGGCGAAAGAGCTGCTCTCTCCTCTCGGGTGCTGAGCAGGTGTGATGCAGGCCTGGAGCTAAATGAGAATGAAGCTGATACAGACAGCATATCTGGCCTGGCACAGTGGCTCACGGCTATAATCACAACTACTTAAGAGGTAAAGATCTGGAGGGTTGTGGTTCAAGGCCAGCCTGGGCAAAAAGCTTACAAGACCCCATCTCAACCAGTAAAAAAACTGGGGTGTGGTGGCACATGCTTATCAGCCCAGCTAGGCAGGAGGCTGTAGGTAGGAGGATCAAAGTCTGAGGCTGGCCCCTGGGCAAAAAACACAAGACCCTACCTGAAAAATAAGTAAAGTAAAATAGACATGGCTGGGCTAACAGAGTGGCTCAAGAGGTAAGACAGCCTACCTAGCAACCATGAGGCCCTGAGCTTAAACCTCAGTGCTGCCAAAAAGAAGAAAGAAAAAAGCATGGCTCAAGTGGTAGAGTGCCTACTTAGCAAGTGCAGGGCCAAGTTCAAACTTCTCAGTACTACGAAAAAAAAAAGCAGATTGAAGAGCTGGAGAGAGGCAGATTGTAACCACACCAGTCTGCCCGGTCCACCATGCCTAGACGCTAGCATTTTCCAATTATAATATTTCCCATTTACTATAGATATGTCGGGACAGAACCTCATGTTTTTCAGTTGCCCCAGCCACCAACAGCTCCCATCCACTGCCCCAGTTCCCTTCCCTGGTGTCTGCAGGACTGGGAGGGCCTTGTATAGGACTGCACAGCTCTGCGCCTAAGCCTTATCTGGCTACCCTTCCTCCTTTGCCCTCAGTGTGGATGCTCAATATCTATATATTTGTCTCCCTCTCCCTCTCCATCTTCACTTCTCCTTCTGATTACCAAGAATTGGGGCCATCTAGATGGGAGCGCAGACAGTCACTCATAGTCCAGGGCTGACAGCCCATTTCCTGTAGGACCCCAGGTTCTTGCTGTGTGCTTACCCTACCCAGGGCCTCACATATGCCATGCAAGCACTCACCACTGAGCTACATCCCAGTGCCCAAACCTCTGAACATGACTAGGGCTTTCTGCTAACTAAGCAGGCTAGTCGGGAAGCGAGCAAAAAAAAAATTGTAAGAATTTTTAAAAAACAAACTATCAATAGCTGTCCCTCTTCTTTGGCTTCCTGATATGCCCACAGAGGTTCCTCTGGCTTCCCTGGGACTGAGCCCTGGCTCCCTGAGTGTGAGTGAAGCATGTGAGCCCAGCCCTTGGATTACTCTTGGTTCCTTCCAGAATAACAACACAGATAGCATTTCCATACACATTCTTCTCTTTTGATCTTCGCAGCAGCTCCTGAGTGGTTATTATTACCTCATTTAAGATACAAGGAGATTCATCCCATACATCTTCCTGGAACACGGATCTGACTCCATGGCAATTTACATACCCATCTTGAAACATTAAGGTGACTGCTGCTGTATTATAGTACGGAATAAGACATTTCATGGCATTTTTAGAAGAAATGTGGACTTCAAAGAGATCTATGTTTGTGCTGGGCTGTCCTGGGCTCTCACTTCCAACCCTCCGGGGATACATCTACTCTCCTCTACCAGGCAGCAGGTATCACCACAGAAACTTAAAGAACAAGGTCATCAGACCAGCCGCACTTCTCACAGCCCCTGCTTCTCAAATGCTGGGGTGCACAGAAATAGCCGGGAACCCTGGTGCAATGTGGCTTCTGACTCAGTGTGACTGGGAAGGACCTGGTGCATCTCTAGCCCCCTCCCAGGTCATGCCCAGGGACACACTACCGTTTCAGCAGCAAGACCCTTGACCAGCCAAACCCATTCCTCACTTCAAAATACTACCATCTCCAGTCATGGGGTCTCTGAACTTGACTTGAGAACAACATGAACCCTTGGAGTCCAGGCCTGGCTTCACGTCACAACACTGCCACACGTTTATCTGTAAAATGGGAGTAACAAGACAACCTATCTGCTTGGACTTAAGGTTGCTCTTGTTTAGATGTGGTTTGTCCTTTCCAAAATTTATATTGGAATCTGGTCCCCAAGACAATAGCACTGAGAGGTGGTCAGACCTTTTAAGAGGTGTGTAAGCTGGGCTCACGCCTAGAATCCTAGCTAGTTGGAGACAGAGATCAGGAGGATCAAGGTTTGAGGCCAGCCCGGGCAAAGAGTTTGAGAAACCTATCTTGAAAATACCCAGCATAAAAAAAGGGCTGGTAGAGTGGCTCAAGTGGTACAGTGCTTGCCTAGCAAATGTGAGGCACTGAGTTCCCCTTCCCCCCAAAAAAAGAGGTGTGGAGGTCATGAAAGTGATGTTGCTCTCAAAGGACCAGATCAATTCTTGTAGGAGTGAAGGAATTCTCAGTGTCTCAAGACTGGACTAGTTACTGTGCTGTGCAACTGGGTAGTTTCAAACAAAGCCAGGCTGCCTTTTGTCTTTTTTCCTCATGTGCACTTGCCCTTCTGCCTTTCACAATGTCATGATGCTCTTGCCAGAAGCTGCCACTGTGCTTGAACTTCTCATGAACCAAAAAAATGTCTTCTTGATAAATCACCCAGTCTCAGGTATTCTGTTATAGCAACAGAAAAGAGACAAAGACAAAGGTCAACATAGATGGGATGCAACACAGTGAAGACGTCTTAGTAAAGCACGCAGAGTTTACAAAGTTTCCAGGGGACATTCACAGAGCTCTAGTACCAGAATGATCTATCCTAGCCCCTCTCTCCCAACCTGCTCCCTTAACCTTTCAATTCTCTTTTTCAGAAATCCAGCCCCACTTGGAGATCCTCAAAGGCCCAGCTCAGTTCCAGTCTCCACAAAGCCTTCCTTTGTATTCTTGCCCCCCTCACTGCTTCATTCTGAAACCCTGCAATTACGATTAAATTATGTACACTGCACAATAGGATATCATTAAGTATTTAACTACGTGCACACACACGCACACACACATATGTACCGCTCGCTAATTAGCCGGGGATTTGGAGACTTTGGGGTGAGCCCTGAGCTCTATTTACTTTCTGTGAGCCTCAGTTTTCTCATCTGCAAAAAGGGGATATTAATAAGGTCTCACAGCAATGCTCTAAGCATCACCAGGGTAAAAGTGGACATAATTCAAGATTTTCTTTTTTGTTCTTGGTTCCTCAGCTGGCTCACAAATTCCTGGAGGACAGACCTGCAGTGGGGGAAAGGGAAGCGCATCGCCCCAGGAGTCTGGTGTCCTGGGCTCCAGGGGGCTTCACTGCAGTCCAGCTCTATGGTGACAATAGCCAAGTCTGATTAAGCATGTTCTCTGTGTCAGGCCTGGGATTACCATGACTCCTTTCCATCCTAACTCAGCTAACCACCACCACAACCCTGGTCTGACCCCAGGGACTGCCTCTCTCTGGCACAGAAGGCTTCATTTTGCAAAGGTGTGGAGGTTTTATTTCCACATTTATACACTGAAGGGTGAATACTTAAACCATCCAACAATGAGAGAGAACCCTGTATAGGGCCAAGTTCATTATCACGGTTTTTCACTAACATTTGTCAGGTGCTTGCCATGTGGCACATGCAATAGTGATTTACCAAAGCTCTGCCCTGGTAAATATGCAGACACCTACTTGGCTGGGCAAGGCTGCACTGCACAGCCCCCATTCACACTGTGTGCTTGTGAATGGCGCCCCCTGCCCTTGTGTCATAGTGGAGCTGCACTGCCAACAGTCAAGCAACGACAGCCAGGTCAGTAGTCCCACATGGGCTTCTGAGAACACTCACACAATGACTGTTCTGGGAAGAGTGTCTATAACTCCATGGGCTCCCAAAGCACTTGGGACCCAAAAAAGAGACAATTTATAATAAAATGTACAAAATGCAACGCCACAGGTCTGAATGGGACCAAGAAGGTCTCTGAGGGCACGACCAGGTCCTAATCCTTGGTGTCACATTCAAAGCCTCGCTCCTCCCACTCTACCTCACATCAGTTCCAGATGAAAACTACTGTTTTCAGTTGCCCCCCCACCACCACACACACACTTATGGTAGGAGAGGGATACTGAATTTGAACTCAGGGGCTCATGCTCATTAGGCAGGCCCTCTACCACTTGAGTCGCATTCCAGCCCTTTTTGCTTTAGTTATTTCTCAGATAGGGTCTGGTGCTTTTTGCCTGGGCTACCCTTAGACCATGATCCTCCTCCTCTCCACTTCCGAGTAGCTGGGATTACAGATATGCACCATCATGCCCACCCAGCTGTCCCCCTCATCCACGGTGGATGTATCTCCAGATTCCTGGTGACACCTGAAACCCTGGAGAGTG